TTTTTGTGTATTTTTTTTTTTTTTTTTTTTTTTTTTTTGTACCAGGGATTGAACTCTGGTCCTTGTGCTTGTAAGGCAGGCGGTGGAACCACTGAGCTAAATCCCCAGCATTCTGTGTCAATTTTAAAGGACTATCAGAAGCTACTTTCCCATCACTGCATGGGGCTACATCAACTTTCTTGCCATACTGGCATACGAAATCAGCTCTTGAAGGAAGAATAAAGTCACACATGCTGTGGCTTTGGCTCCTTTGAGAACTTCTGCAGCATGGCCATCTTTCCTTCCTCCGATGCTAGGTGTTTTGGAGAGCTCTTTGTGAACAAGTGACCAAGGAAAGACCTGGCTTATGGAAAGCTTTTCTCAATAGCCAGGCAAATTAGAAATAAACCATTATAACCATACTCACAGCTATGCCAAACAAGCAAATGAAAAATATCACAGAAAGAATTTCTTCTCATTGGACAGAACCTGAAGCAATATAGCTCATCGTTTACTCTGGCTGGATTGAGAGATGGTCTGGGATATAAATGGGCCTACATTGCTTCATGGGTAATGGCTAATCGTTTGGCTGGACAATCACGGATTTGGAAAGAAGAGATTAGAAGACTGTCTACAAAGCAGTGTATAAACAGACCTCTTAGCTCTACACAGAGCATGAGAGTGTTTATGATGGGAATGTGCACAAAGGCATCTGCGTCACACAAAACTCTCAATAATCACATAGAAAAGACAGCCTATTAGATGGGTGTCTGCCGGCTTCTTTCCCCAAATACCCAAGTATGTGCTCAATAGCTTCATAAGCAAAATACCATGACAGCAAGAATGAAGGGCCAGCCTCAAAAACTTTCTGTGATCTGTTCATCATCACTACTGAGTGCTCAAGCCAAGAACAGGAGAGTTCAACCCTGGGCTCCTAAGATGTCATCATTTGGTGGGAAGGGGAATAATCCAGCCATCAGCTATGCTGAATCCTTAATCCAAGAGGAGCTGCAATTGTCCTCAGTGGAATTGACACTTAATTCTAGGTATTGCTTTGTCTTCTCTGCTTGCAATAATTATCTGCCAACACATCCTCTCTGTGGATTTATGGACTGCCTTATTTACTTTCATAGTGTCTCACAGAAACTCACTCCACAGTAAATATGTGTGCATACACACACAAACACCCAAACATATGTAATAATGGGCTTGAGCTCATGGAGCTCACTGGTCTTCCCACAAATACTTAGACGCACTTGAGCGAAAGGCAGAATGGCCACCTAACAATTCGGCTATAGTTCTTATTGACAGAACATCCTGTGAAGTGGAAGCGATATCCGACAAGACGCAGTGTATCCTCCAAGCCAATGGTCAATATACAGTGATTTTTAACCATAGCCGGAATCTGTAGCTCTGAACAAAGAGGTAAAAATGAAAGAATTCCTTTTGCTATTCATCCTAAGAACCCCACTTATAAAATGTATGCTTTTAGTTCTCACAGCTCTGTTCTCCACTCATAAGAGAACTTACTTCTTCAAGAAAGAATTACTCTACCAGGGAAATAACAATTGTTCCATTCAGTTGGAAGCTGACGTTCCCGTCTGACCATGGGTTCCTCGTGTCACTGACCAAGAGTCAAAGGAAAGTTCAATGAGCTGGCTGGTGTAATGGATCCTGTTTACTGTATTGGTAGCTGCATGATGCTGGCATGGCAGGTGAGATCTAGAGCTGTAAGGTCTTTCCAACCTATCGACTTGTAATTTATTATGACAGGATGGCAAAAGAACTCAGATCATTCAAGAATGAATCTATAAGTCACCTTACCAGATAAGGCAAATTGACTATCTGGCTGAAGGCAAAGAGAATGTTAAATATATGGTAGTAAAAAGCATTTATAAATTTCTCCCATCCAGGCCCGACCTTGCTTAGCTTCTGAGATCAGATGAGATCGGGTGCTTTCAGGGTGGTGTGGCCATAGACGACACTTATAAATATCAACTGTGGCTTTGTAACCAATCTCAGAAATAAAGCAGAAGATATGGATAGTTTCTTCCTCATTTGTTTCTTTCCAGTTCCTTCCCCTTAATTCTCTCATTTTATATAAGTAGTGTCAGTGATAAGTTTATATAATCATCTTTAAACAAATAACTGACATCGCTTAGAGAAGGAGATGAAGAAAATTAAAGAGATTTGTGTCTCCCTTTTAGGGTGAGAAAGCAGAGGCATATTTTCACAGGAGAAACTGCAACTTGCTAGAGAGAAGCAGGCAGCTGTTATTACTGTTTTAGTAGAGAAGTTTTCAAGTGGGTAGGAGAGAGTCCTGGGGTGCCTGTTAGCTATGGGGTTGGGTAGATGGTAATACCTATAGTCTCTTGGCCCTAGACCCCTAGACTCCCCTTCTCTGTGATGTCAGCTGGGATGTAATAATCACATCTCTAAGACTCTTTGTTCAGCCCATTCTAGTTAGATTCTGCCAGTAAGAGGGGATTCTGAAGATGGGGGCGGCTAAGGGAGAGGAGGGAGGGGAGAGAGATTTGTTTCCTGTCTTCACTCTCAGCATCTCTCCAGCACAGGGACAGCAACAGGGACTCACATCTTCGAGCATCCCAAGGATGTGGAATCCCCTCTGGGGTTTGGACACCAGCCATGCAGTGCTCTCTTGCCCTCTTGGAAGCCCCAGCATAGCTGTGAGCATGCCCTTGAGTTTTCAGCCAGCTGAGCTGTGATCTCAGTCTGCCTCAGCTGCATGACAGTGGCCTCTCCCCAGTCCCCTCAAGGGCAGCTCCTTATTTGTGACCGTAGGTCCTGATGTCTCTGCCTTAGCCCTAAGCAGTGGTAACTACTTTTGATTTAACCATCTCTGGATCAGCTCATTAACTTTCCTTAATCTCCAGGATACTAATGCCTCGTATTCAACACTTGTGTTTAATATACCTAGTATGGATTCTCCTTTCCTGAATGGATTCTGGCAGACACCAACACATATTTTTAGAGTTCATAATAAAAACTAGAAAGCGTGCATATAGCCAAAATAAAAATATTCAGTATTTATGAGCATTTTTCATTCTTTTGAGTTTTAAAGAATTACACATCCTGTAGAATGCAACCTCTTTCTATTGCTGGACAGTGTTAAAAACTCGATTTCCCTTGGGGAAGCCAGTAACTATGTCAGTGTACTGAGTGGCATTTTGCCCTGCTTCTAGTCTTATTTCAAACACAGAAACAGGATGTGCTTCCCTTCCTAGAGTGCTGGAAGCAGAGATTCAAATAATTATTTAGATGTGAATGTGGGATTGTCAAAACAACGACTTTTCAAACACTGCAGACTCAGCTTTTACTGGGCACCCAGGAAGCTTTCCACATCTCTTCCTATGGTGCAAAACGAGAGCAAACCCTTTCCTGTCTTTTGGTAGAAAGGTTAAGTGGGCCAGTCTTTAGACTGACACATGAACTTCTTAGTCGCACCAGCTGTTGTGATGAGAACATGACCAGTGCATCAGTGCTACCTGGACAAAACTTTAAAGCATTGGCTTCTCAGAAAAATATGCTTCCACGGAATGTGACAACAGCAACATGCTTCCTAAAAAGCTCTGTACAGTTTGAGTAGTTTCAAAATGAGACAGCAAAAACAATAGTCTTGTGTTCCTCTTTTGCTTCCCATTTTATATTTGTGTCCCTTTCTCTGTGTCCCTGGCCCTCCAATTAGTATATGTATATAAGGACAGTTTGTGTTAGGTAGTTTGCGTTTGAGTGCATATTTGTAAGCTGAGGTGAGAGAAAGCATCTAAAATAAAGTGAGGGATCCCACAACCATGGGTACTGGAATTCATATTGTGAATAAACAAGCAACAGTCAATATTTCAGAAATGTGCTCCATTTATGCAATTCATCCCACAGAGGTAAAGTTTATATTGTGCCTGCGAGACCAGGGACTTGTTTTTTGTGTTATCCCTGCTTTTGTAACAAGCCCATTCGAGACAATGTGATCTTTCACACTGCTGTGAAGGGCCTTCACTCCATATATTTCCAATGGGTTATTATTTTAAAGAAGCTCTTGACTTTAAAAGAGGCCACCTCTAACTTGAGGTATGTTACCAATCATACTAGATTTAGTAATTGTCTGGCTACCAGAAGAAGCATGAAGAGGAGAAAACATCCAACCATTTAAAATATTTTCAGGAGCAAAAGGAACCCAAAACATTATGTTGAATGTGACCTGATGCTTGTTGTTACAGTCACTTTGTCCTCTGCTCTGCAGACAGTAGAGGAGAGAGAGTAGTTTTTGGTTGTGGAAATAACAAAGGAATATTTAAAAAGGGTTCTGTTGTTTCCTAGGGGATGAGCATTCCTGAGGTTACTTTTTCAAGGTGTTTTTCTTTTCTCAAACTACAGGGAGAGCATAAATTGCTCCACTGACAATAAAAGTGAGGACTAAAGATTTGAGAGGACTAAGAAAAATCACTGGAAATCAGAAGAAATACCACCTCCTTCAAGAAGGGTTCATTCCTCCTCCTTCTTTTGGACATCACAGTTTAGTTATTTGTTTAGACTCTACCTCTTCATTAGAAGGCAAGAAACATGTCTTATTCAGCTTGGTATATGCCCAGTTTAGCCTGTATTCAGCACAAGAAGATTCCATGTTTATCAAGTAATGATTGAATAAAAGAAGGGATGCTTGGAAACTAGATTTTAAAGCTCAGTAATGAATCTGCTTGGGTATTGAGGATAAAATTGATGGCAGAGGTTGGATCAAAATATTCTTAAAAGCACATTACTTAAAATACCAGGATTTCTGCAACAAGGCAAGGAATGATAAAGAATATGGAGGCCAAGTATAGATCAAGAATATGTGAATGAAGGGAAATAGGAATGGGAATGGGAAGGGCTTCCCACTGACTTTATTTGCCCCACACCCCGCCCTGAAAGCCACCTCACAACACCTTTGATTCATCAACTGCTGAAATAACCCAAATGCAAGATTGCACACACACACACACACACACACACACACACGTATGCACACTTGCACACACATATTTCTGTGGAATTTAATGTTTTTCCTATCAAGGAATCAGCTTTCCAGCCATGAGAACTATTTCTCAAATTATCTACCAGCAAAGGTAAAACAAAACAAAACAAAAATCTCCAAGCAGCAGTGAGGAAAAAAATATGGTGGATTGTTGAATTCCCGACATAACCAGTTTAAAATTTTCAACTGTTTGTTACCTAGGAAAAGAAATGCTCCTTTATTTTCCTGGCTTTGGTGAGTTCTAACACAGTCAGGAGACTGCCTGCAGAGTCTCTTCAGACTAACTATGTGCTGAGATGCAGACCCCAGTAACTAGCAGGAAACTGAACTGCTGCCTGCGTACTCAAGATCATGCCAAGCCACACACCCTTCTCAGTCATTCTCTGCTTCAGATCGTATTCTTGGCAGTTTCTCCCAGAGGAGCTGGAATTCTGTGCCTATCTCGAATAGGAGATGAGACCTTCTGAGATGATAAAAAGGTTGCCTAATTGCAAATCTCTTTGTCTCTTCTTTAATCCCACTACTGATTCCTGTCAAAATAATGCAAGAAAGAAAGAGAACTAGCTCATCTGTGGACTACAGATTTTTAAAAGTCTAAGTCAAATCAAGCCCCTCAGATTAGAAGGGGACTTTTTCATGGCTGGATCAGACTGTAACACCTGAAGCCACCAATCAACAGACACAGGAATTTTATGTGCCGCCTCACGTGGTACAAAATAAACGATACGATATAGCGCCTTCTATGAAACAATCTTGTCTAAAACTAAACATCAGTTTAATCAAAGCCTGAGGTCTAACTATAAATGAATAAGAGATGGAAGGGAAAGAAGACTTTGTCTACATTACAGCCACAAAGACATAAGCAGTAAAAACCTGAATGCAGAACATACAACGAACAAAACCATTTATTCAACAAGCATGAAAAAATAAGAAGAGATCAACTATAGATCTAGAGATTTCTTCAAACAAATCAACAACTCATAAAACAAAAGAAAATATTTGCAGTAATTGAAAACACTGAACTTAGGTTATTAGATGCATCTATGATATTAATATTAAGTGGTACTTTTGGTAGGTATGATCATGGCATTGTGCCCATGTTTTAAACGTCCTGATCTTATGGATAAAATGAGAAATTATCTAGATGAAATAAGAAGGGAGAAATTACTAGATTTGATATAAAGTACATGAGCTATGTTATCTCTCTGTATTATATTCTGGAGCATGCTTTAAAATTTTCAAGATTAAACAAAATAAAAACAAATACCATGACCAAATAAGAGGGTCTCCAGAAATGCAAAAATTACTTCACATTAGAAATATTTCACCATGAGAAAAGGTTAAAGGAGAAAACTATTTGATCAATAAATGTTAAAAGGGCCTTGAATATGCAGTAGTCGTAAATTTAATAACAACAAAAAATCTGAAACAACAGAGGATTTGTTAATGTATTAGGGTACCATTATTGTATAAATGCTATGTATTTATTTAAAATAATGTTGTAGAAGACTAGCAAGAAACATAAAAACATGTTCATAAGGTAGTAAATGAAAAAATGTTTACCCAAGAGTGAGGTAGTATATTTCACTTTATATTTATCTACCAAAATATTAACAGTGGTTAGATGTGGGGTTTGGTTTGGGTTGGTTTGTAATTTTTATTTTCTTTTTTCCCCCCATTAAGGTTATTGGTACATTTAAAGCAAACAATACAGTTATATTTATCATTGGGATCTTGTACCTTTACATGATGTCTTGGTTCTCATTTTTTCACCATATCCCTGCCCTCCCTTCACCCCCTTCACCCTTCCCTATTTACAAAGACTTTGTTTGCATTTCTTCCTTTTTGCGTATTTTTTCTTTTCCCTTATGTCCTTTCCCCTCCACTTTCCACTTCCCCTTTCGCCATTTACTTCCTATGTCACACTCTCAATGATACCATTTGAACCTTATTTACACTTTTAGTTTTTCATACCAGACAAATATAATTTTTATTTTCTTCTTTGCACTTAGCTATATTTTCCAAAATGTCTACAGAACCAGGCGTGGTGGCTCACACCTGTAATTCCAGTTCTCAGGAGGCAGAGGCAAAAGGACTGCCACAAGTTAGAGGCCAGCCTGGGGTGTATAGTGAGTTCAAAGCCAACCTGAACTACACAGCAAGAGAAGACACGGTCTCAAAACAAACAAACAAACAAAATGTCTACGGAGGACACCTTATATTTTTAACCCAGAGAAAGCATATAATATTAAACTTCTAAATTTCATACTCTTCTGGTCATTTTTTTCTGTAACAAATATATCTGAATGAACTCTTATTTTATCAACACTTCTGCATTTTTCCCAAAAGACTATCTCAAGACTTGTCAAAAATGCCTTTTTGGAATTATGATATATAGTGTTTATAGTATTGTTGATGTAATGATGTGATCATAATAAAAATCAGTGGTTCTGTGGGGAAAAAAATCCATATTTAATGCCTCTAGCCACTTTGAGATGACAGAACTGTATCAACTGTATTTTTAAATATTTCCTATTTTATAACGATGTATATGGCACAGAGGCTGAGAAATACAAAACAGAATCAGTTTTTATACAGCAGAGTATTCTGGTATTTGTTCTTTTTTCCTTTTATAATGATGTTATAAAGGACAAGAAATTAACTAATGCATTTTAGAATGATTTGTACCCTAAGTAAATTAAATTATTAAAGTTCCAGTGAAAAGGGTAGTTTCAGATACTACTTTGCTATAAGCACTTGAAAAATAAATCCAATCAAATAATAAATGATCATTAAATGATAATCAAATAATAAATGAATCATTAGGAAAAGAATTAAGCTTTACTGTGAACTGTGTTGCTAAAAATCTAATTATTTTATGTCCTATGTACTGGTAGTTCTAAAGTACTGGGAAAACAAACAAATAAAAAATGAGTAGACGAAATAGAAGTCAACATTCCTCTAAATTCCATGTTTTCCAAAACCTCATCCCTGAGCCTGAAAGTGCAGTTCTATTTGTAAGTCAGATGAAGCTTTTCCTCTGAGTGAACTTGGCTTATTTTCAGTCTAATTATTAAATTTGCATGATTGATATAAACTTACTTTAGGCATTCCCTAAAAGAAGTAAAAGTTTTACAATAAAGGCTTAAAAATAGGCTTCAGAACTACGTTATTGAACTAAAGGAGCAATTACAAGCTGCTGTTCTCATTCAGTGACTACAACTGCCCATTTAGCACAAAGAATATTTTGACTTCGCAGGGAGCTTGGTCATTTGGACTACATGTTGAATGAAATGTAGGAATATAATTTAGTATCAATAATCAACTTTCTCCGATATTTATTCTTTTACATCTCTGAAATTATCAGTCTTAAAAATACTCCTTTTCCACATGACTAGGGTAGACTTGATGGGAGTGGATCCTTGATACTGTGGCTTGGTGGCTGTATGATTCTATGTTCTGCATTTTCCTTCCAGTAATAAAATATACTGATCCAAGATCTCATGTAATCAAAATTAAATATATCTGATCTCTACATAAACTGTTGAATAGTAGCTACATTAAATGAGCAAGTTTCGCCCTGTTTTCTCACCTTTTTGACACAAGTTCCAAACCACTGACCAGAAAAACACATAATATTGAAAGTAAAAATTTGTAATATTGAAAGTTTCAACTTGAGCTAAGTTTTGACTAATATCATAAGACTTAAATAATACCATAATTTGATTCCAGTGATTTAAGAGCTATGTAAGATATAAAAGACCTTAACAAGCTACCATTTTTTAAATAGTCTTATAAAATATCTATGTTGATGCAATTTTAGAAACTGGAAGAAATGGAGAACATTTAGCTTACTTTTTTTTTTTTTTGCTACAGGAAATCAAACTCCAGTTCTTGTGCTTGGGAATTAGGCAGTGGAACCACTGAGTTAAATCTCCTGCCCCATTACTCTTTTTATTATAATAAGTTTTAAGGCAGAATTGGAGACACTATATGGCACACTATTATAAGGCATTAGTTTTTACAATTAAAATGTATTGTTTCCTATCAGTCTAAAATTATTAGAAAAGAGAAAATGAACACATACACACACACACACACACACACACACACACACACACACACACTGCATTGGGAAGCCCAGTGATAACGGCCATAAATTATTTTACAGTAGAATGATTGTTTCCAATATAAATGTATTTATATTTAAATTATTTACAAAACTTGAGGAAAATAGTTCCTTCCCACTGGGCACTGTCCTTTTTAGGAGGATTTTCTAGAATCTATATCTCCAATCTCTATGTTCCAGGTCCATATTTCTACCTGCCTCTTGGTCATCAACACCTGGATCTGCAGGCCATGCCACAAACCTGGAACTCATTTATTTACCCAACCCACCTCTTCCCCAAGGACTCCAAATCTCAGAAAATGTACTGCCTCTACAGTTATGTAGTTGTGGGGCTGGAAATTTTAACTCATAGCCCATGCTTAATTGAACACCAAATCCCACAGAGCCTCTGAAACATCCCTCAAATTTATATACCCTACTATATTACTGATGGCTTTGTCCTACTCAGGTCATTCTTTCCTCTCAAGAATAATATTTTAAAATACTCTGAATGAAGCTGTGTTTCTGATCTACATAAAACAGGAGTAATTGAATTTATATTTCCTCCTAAAACA